AAGGTTTACTGTTATTTAGTTTGGTTCAAAACCTACAAAATCTTCATTGCTTTCACTATAATTTATTTTATTATTATTATTTAGGGAGCATTACAAATAGTAAACTTTTTAAAAGAAAAAAAACTCTATTGTTATGAATAACACATTCAGTTGAACTAGATTATGGATGCCTATTTAAATATATTTACACATGGCTTGTGTATATCATATATATACATATATATTATTCATACCTTCGGTGTATAGGACGCAAGCAGATTTTCACATTAAATTTTGGGGTAAAAAAGTGCGTCTTATACACCGAAAAATACGGTATATTGTCTGGGTCAGGTGGACAGCGTTTGCCACTGATTTTTGTGTATATCGATTCTCACATGTTACACACACCGAACTTTGCTTACCACGGCTGGAGTAAGACTTATTGCAGGTCTCTTTCTGGATGGTCCTTGTTCACCCAAGTTGATCTATATTCGCTTATTATCCCCGTTTTGTAAATAAGTCTCTGATCTGAACATATCTTCATGACTTGAGTGTATTAATATTTTGTGTCGGAAAGGGCAGTTACACACCCTTCCCAAAAGCAATAAATGCTGGTATTTATCACATTACCTACGAAACGACAAACAATGTCAAAATGTAGTTTGATACATGTAGTTCTACGGCGAGTCTCTATTGGCTGTGGTTACACGTTACTTACTGAATTGTGTATTCAAAATCGTTTTAATATAACGTACTCAATTCTATGTATATATGTAGCATATCCAAAGTAATTGTCTCAATGAAAGATCAGTTAAAACGTACTTGGCATATAATGTAAGCACGAACAAAATACTTGTACAAAGTTTTATAAGAGATATCATGAAATATCTTGTTTAAAACAGCAATATTAGTTGTGCAAAGCTATACGCAGTATATCACTGAAAACGTGAAAAAACAACACAGAAATGCATATTACCGTATCACAAGAGACATTCTATTTCTAAATAGATTTTTACTAAGTTTAGATATTTATTACTGAACTTATTGTATTGTGTGTGTGTATGAGCTTAATGATATGAGTTGATTATTTCTGGTTCTTAATTTGAAAGGTCATTGCCACAGACTTGGGAAACCTGAGTTCCTCGACATTTCTAACCATAAGAGTTGAAGACGAGAATGATAATGCTCCACGTTTCCAGCATGGTCCTCTATTTGTTAAACTTCCAGAAACTGCCAAACCTGGTTCCAAGGTAGTCGAAGTTACAGCTGTGGATGCTGATGCCACTGGAATTAACTCTAAAATTGAATATGTCATCACTGCTGGTGGAAGTAACGACATTAGAATTGATAGAATAACAGGTAGGAATGTACTATGAGAAACATATTATTGTAAAGAAATTATATGAAATACTAGTGAGTGTTACAGGAACACTGAAATATATCACTGTAGAATACAAAAATGACCACAAATCGATTATGGTGTCTAGTTAAATGCATTTTTATTATTTTCTGTATACGCTATTAGAGCGGGATAAACCAATACTAGAGAGGTGCTTGAAGTACATTGAAATTTGCTGCTTAAGTGTGATGTATTTACCTGGACAATTCCACCTACCAATAGTTAATATTTCATATCTTTGTGTATCTACAATTTTTGCTCTATTTTAGCTCCAGGTTCACCCATTGGTGGAGTCACTCCTATAATCAACAAACCAAAAGCATTCTAAGAGCTGTAACTTTATTGCAGGGACAATTAAACAAAGGCCACTTCAATAACTTTTGAGTAGCTGACATTGGTGGAATAAGCTTCCCCTAGTGTTCGGATTATAGTCGTTGCTACAGACAAGCAGAGAAGTAAAAATACATAGCTACAACATTTCACGACGTACCATGCAAAGACCAAGAACAGAAAAAAAAAAAGAAATGGTGTATTTAAGTGTTTTACACTCACAAAAAAAAACCTATCATAATTGAATAGAGTTGCTTAAACATTTGTTTAACAAGAAGTAAAAAAATGAGGAGTGGAATTCTCCGAAACTAGTCTGGCTCACAGACACACCCCCAATGAAAGAATAGACCATTCCAAGCTTTT